ATTAATTAAATGGGTTTGATTGAATTTTTAAAGGTTTTTAATAATAATCATTTATGAAAATTATTATTTTTATAATATTATTAATTATGATATTTTGTTATAATTATTATTTGAAGAAAATTATGTTTTAAAATTGTATTGATATTTTATTTTAATATGATATATATATATATATATATATATATATAAGTGAAAAATAATTATCACCTAATAAACTAATTAATTTTATAAAGTTAAATTAATTAAAACTTACTTTTTTTTTCTAAGACCATTTAAGAATTGATCATTATTAATTAAATAATTTGTATATCAATAACATTGTTACATAAAAATATGTTGCCTTTACATATATTTAATTAATATTAAATAATCTATATGTTATAAATGAATAACATGATAAGTTACTCTAGAGAAGAAGAAAAAAACTTAGTTTATCAAATAAGACTATATTATCATTAATAGTAAAACTTATTAATTATATTTAATAACATGTGCCTTTTTCTCTCTGGTCATATCATAGTATTACTTAACCACAGAAGATCGAGAATTCTGATTCAATTTTATCTATTTAATTAGACTCAGTTTTATCTAATTAAAAACCATCCCATTAAGACTCCGGTGCCTGTCCCACAGCCCATCAATCTTTTGGTCAATAATTATGCCTAATTAGGTTAGGTAATTTTTAAATAGGGAGAAGAAGCTTGTGAGCAGTACGTTGCAGTCATAAAGCCATAGAACTACAGTCTCTGGTTAGTAGTGGGTGGGGATTTCGACTAAGAAATATTTCGAAATGAACTCATACCGCCAAACTTTATGGAGGAGACACAAAAGCTACGAAAGGTCGCTAGAAATATGAAAGGCGCACATTAATAAAGTTGATATGATGAAGTTACATCTTTCAGTAATAATATAAATAAATTTTTGTAATCATTCTTCTTTTTCATCTGCAAGATTATAATCTTGACTTCATGCGCACACTATATAGCTAGTTAATTGCGGCTTGACAACGTTATGCACCGTGAGGATTTAGGCATTTTTTATAGGGACTAGAGAAGATGAAGGACATTTTCTTTTTTCCTTTTCATTAAGCCAATGCAATAATCAAAATTAATTCTTTTCAACAGAACTTTCTTTACATGCACGATCAGATCTATCGGTATATTTATAAAAAAACTAACATTAGGTCACTTATAGAATGCAAAAAGTTGACACTATTATCTGGACAGTGAACAATACACAGTTATCTACGGTAGCAAAATGAATTACAGCTGGTATAGTTTATACTACTAGTTTATATATATCTAATGGCCGACATATTTATAACAATTCTAATTTTTTTTATTTAAAAAGTTAATTTTGATAGTTGGGATCCATAAAGATGGATAGATCTACATCGGCTTCCATGATCTTAATCTCAGGGTTGAAGTTCGTGCTCCCGAAAATTTTGGCAAGTTATATCTAAGAAATAAAGTGATATATGAAATTTGAAGGTGACTCACTTGCATCCAAACTGTAAATTAAAGAAGAGAAATGTCACATGGGACATGTATGCATTGTGTTACTGTGTAAATTGATTTGAACATCAAAATATTTTTACAGGTACATCATATTCCGTCACAAAAAGGTAGCACCATTATAGAATAAGAGAATCTGATCGTGCCTCAAATCATCATGACTCATATACAAGTCGCCATGAGATTAAGGAAATTCACTGAACTTAAGGATGGCAATTCTCCCTTCGTTCGATCGAGATTGTTGCATTGACTGTTTTATTCGGGAATCCAAGTTTATAGAATGGTTAAAAGGAATTAATAAAAAGAATACACTATATTTCATTATGTCAAAAACCCTCACATTAATTAGTTACTAGTCATGATACAGTAATTTAGTGTGTTTTCATTAATATAATGAATTTAGTCTATTCTATTTTATAAGATTTAGTTTTAATTTCTTTAATTCCTATACTTGTTGTATAAGCTGATTGTATGGGCTGTTAAGCTTTTGTTCTTTTGTTAATTCATTTTGAGTGCTTTTGGGAAGAGGGGTGTTTATCGTCAATTTGTCATGCTGTCTGCAATTTTCTTTTTAGGTTTGAAATTTTATTTAATTCCCTTAATGATAGAGGAATATGACTTTTTGTTTCAATTTTTGTTTTTTAAAGGAGGCCTAGAGCACAACTGTTTCAATATTCTTTGGTGTACGTGTTACCAGTCATTCTGGAGCTTTGAGTTGGCCACATCTTGACCTTGTTTTTGTGTTCCATTTAAGTATTTATATTATGTTAAAAAATCTTGCAAGAAATAATAAAAACCAATGAGAACTTTTCCCTATAGACCAACATGAGTTACGTAGATTTATCTGTGACCCTGATTCTTATATTTATCCTTAAAACAAATTAACTTACGTCATATGTTGGTCGTGATTCCTATTAAGATGTGCAGCATAAATTAGAGTTATTATCAAAATATTGACTTGGATAACACTCACTTTAAATTAACTTTATCCAAATGAAAAGTACACATCTAAACAATGAAACTTGATTTTCTCATGACTTGGATCAAGTGACATAAATGGACTAGTAATAACTAATTTGAGAGTATTTCAAATTTCCAATGTATATATATCTATATGTAAGTTGTCAAGGTTAAGTAAATTGATAATAATACTATTGAAACGGATGAATTTTGAGTTTTTATATAACTTGTTTGTAAAATAACTATAGCCGAAGTTATTTAACGATTAAAAAAATGTTATTTAAAAACAATTTTCCAAATTAAAATTGGGATTCATGTGCGGTCCATAGATAACATGAAATTTTCTGAATATAAATAAAGAACCTCAAGTTATATTTTAACATTTTATAGTATTTATTTTTAAGTAATTGTATTATTCGTGTGAAGTACTTTATATGAATTGATATATAAATAAATAAATAAAGATAAATTTTACATGAATTAAAAAAAGTTAATTAAATATATTTAATTTTCACAATTTATGTCAAATGAACATTGTATTCTTTTTAAAAATATCTTTAATCGCATTTGTTATATATAATGTTCTCATTTATTATTTTAGATATATTTATGGATTAAAAATATTAAATAAAGTTTACTTGATTAAAAATTACATATGTTTTAGTTTAAACATTTAAACAATTTTTATTTATATATAGATTCAGGGGAAGTATTCATTAACAAATTGGTGTATAATCTTTATTCAAAAAAATTAACTAGTTATATTTAGTACAGAAAAATTAATATATTATAAGTACAAAATAATAAAACCAAACTAAAAGGATAAATTTTATGACAAATTTTTTAAAAATAATTTTAAAAAAATTAAAAAATAATATATTTCAAAAATTAAAATATAGTTAAACCTTAATTAATATATATATATTAGAAGAAAAAATGCATATCACTTGACTATTTTTGTACAAAAATTATCAAACATAAGAATGAGATGGATATTTCAATTTCTTCCAACATGATTTGTAATTTTTTAGCAACAAATTATCGAGATAGATAAAGGTGTTTGAAATTATATCAAATGAATAAATGAGCAAGTAATGACTTTTTTTTTCTTCTAATGTCCATGAGTTTTATGTTGTGCATCAGATGTTTACACACATATTTATGATTATTATAGTATAATTTTTTTTATAATGGAAGTCGTCTTTTCTATCCACGAGCATTTTAATACTAACTCGTGAAATTTAGTTATATTTAAAGTATCTATGATGAAATATTTAAAATTTTATAGATGAATTTACTTATTAACTCCACAATTATTGTTAAGTCAATCATCTAATAAAAAATATTGACTTTGATACTAATTGTTATGTATTGAGGGTGCATGCACACATGTCTTCATATTGATATGATATTGTCTACTCTTGACCTTAGTCTTCGTGAATATGATATTGCTTTTGGATACAAGAGATCATATTCCAAATTCACCTATATATTAACTTCATCATACTCGTCTAACCAATTACTTGGTTGAAACCATCGGTTCTGATATCACTTATTGTACATTAAAGTTCTCACATGTACATATCTTCACATTTATATGATATCATCTAGTTTAGATCTTAGTCTCTCATGAATCTATTTTTTTTTTCTTTGTCATTATCAAATAGCTTCTTACCGGTAGAGAAATTCATATGCTTATAAACTCATTCTTTTTTTTTAGTGATGTAAAACTTTAATTGTGACTCGACACTTTAATCTTTAAAAATTTCATATTAATTTTTTTAATTATAAAATATTAAATGAATCTTTAACATGTTAATTAAGTCTCAATGCTACTTATTATTATTTTATTTTCTAAATATATAATATTATTTAAGTTTTTTTTTTGGAATTCTAGATTAATTGATTATTAATTTGTATTTTTAAAGTAACTATTGATATAATATTGTATGGATATAATATTGTCTCCTTTTAACCTTAATCCTCATAAATATGATATTGTTTTTGGACACAACAGATTCTATTCCAAATTCACCTATTAACTTCATCATGCTCGTCTGGTCAATCAACTAGTTGAAATGATCAATTTTGATACCACTTGTTCTATATTAGAGTTTATATATATACATATTTTCACATTTATATAATATTATCTAATTTAGACATTAGTTCCTCGTGAATTTGTCTTTTGTCATTACTAAAAGGTTTATTATCAATAGAGAAATTCATATGTTTGTATATTTATATTCTTTCTCTTATTTTAGTGATGTGAAACATGTTATTTGTATTTCAACACTTGAATCTTTGTAAATTTCAATAATAATTTTTTGAATTATAAAATATTAAATAAATATTTAACATGTTAGTTAAATCTCAATGCTACTTATTATTTTACTGTCTAAATATATAATATTATTTAAGTTTTTTTTTTAAAATTTTGGATTCATTGATTAATATTAATTTTTATTTTTAAAGTATATATAGAGAGAGAAAGAGAAATTAATATAATTAGGCCTTTTAATTTTAGAGATTTATATATATTTAATTTCTAGTTTATAATAAACAAATATATATTTTTTAATAATCTTAATATAGGTATAAAATATTTATTGATGTTTTTATTATATTAGTATAATATATATCTAAAAATATTTCTGATAATAAAATATACGAATTTATTGTAATGATTTTTGAAATTTTGTTATAAGCTCAGCAACAAATTATTCATTTGTATTAATAAAAACACTTATTTATAAATCTTTTGGAGATCTAGACATGATTATGCAACATTTACTCATTTAGCACCAACATAGATATAATAATAATCAATTTAAGATTTGGTACACAAACATGAAAACAAACAAATTATATTTTCTTTAAACAAGAAAACAAAAAAGATAAGTACATGCAAATCCAATTAAATCCTTATAAATAAATGCAATGACATATATTTTCGACTTTCAATAATAATTATATTTGTACGGCCAAACAGAACAAAAATTTCATTAATATTCACCATTATTTGTTTTTTAATATTAAATTGCATCATATGTTATATTATTATTATTTATATCTTTTATTTATTTTTCTGTAAATGTGGACTAGCATGGAGTTTGGGTACATATTTTCCTAGCTCAAAATTGAATTGTCAGCAGGATAGATAAACCTGTGCATTCTCCTAGACTCCATAGTTCATAGTTCATACAATTACAAGTTACAGTCAGACAAACAAATGACGATTCGAAAATTAAAATAAAAAACAAAAATATCCATAATTTATTGTGGTTATTATTACAATATTTTAAGTCATAATCCAATTATTTATGTAGGAGAAGTGATAATCAATCTAATGCAATGCGTATAAAATGTTTATTTTTTAAAAATTAGAAAAGATGAAATAACAAATCTCTCTCTCTAACTCTAACCTCTATCTATCTTTCTCTGTCTCTGTACTAGAAATCTAGAACTGCAAAGAATCCCTCTCATTCTCATTTTCCTCCACAGATCTCTCTCATCAAACCCTAATCTCAGGTTGATCGTATCCATCCACAAAGCCATTTTCTCAATTTCTGTTATCATTATTGTTTATTCATTCATCTACACTGATCGATGATTCTGGAACATTCATGAGTCTCTTTCTTCATGGACCACCACCACCCTTACCATGCCTGAGCTGCGGCCCCGACCACGCAGAAACCGCCTCTTAGACAACGCAAATCCCAATCCGATCACTCAACCACACTCGCCGGAGCCCGCCGGAGCCCGCCGGAGCCCGCCGGAGGAGGACAGCTGCTGCCGCTCCAACAAGGAGGAATCAGAGACAGAACAACGCGATCGCCGCCGATGATGAAATTGTGAACGCCGGTGCTGTGCGTGGTGCAAGAGGCAGGAGGTTGAAAGACGAACAGGGAGCGGAGAGGGAGAAGGAGCAGTCACTGGTTAGGGTTTTGGAAGAGGAAGACATGGATGAGTACGATAGTGGTGGCCGCAGTGCCGATAAGGCTCCGGGAGCTGATGACGAAGGCACGGCAGCTCCTATTCCGGAGAAGGTGATTTCTGTTTCACGGTTTTCTTCTTCTTTTTTCTCTTCCGAAGAAATGCTAGTTGTTGTTATTGAATAGGTTGCATGACAAGCAGTGCTAGATTTTGTTTTTCTTCTTATTGTTTCTAGCGTTAGATGGATGAATAAGAGATAATACACCATGCGAGCTGGTGTAAAACAGTTTTTGTCATGTGTTGGAAATTTAATCTATCGGGGGTGTTTTCTTTACGACAGGTCCAAGTTGGTGGTTCCCCTTTGTACAGAATTGATAGGAAACTTGGGAAGGGAGGATTTGGGCAGGTTTATGTTGGTCGGCGGGTAGGAGCTATGAATTCTAGTGAACGAGGTGGGGCTGGTGCTGTTGAGGTATGGTGTTAGCATGTTGATTATGGTTTGAGTGTGTGTTTGACTGATGCATTATTGAATTTTTTTGTTATCAACTATTGTTCTAATTACTGTAGGTAGCCTTAAAGTTTGAGCATAGAAGCAGCAAGGGGTGCAATTATGGACCTCCATATGAGTGGCAGGTTTACAAGTGAGTTGATTGTCTTTTCTTCCCACAGGATGAAGTTGCTCTTCTGGGTCTTACTTTGTTATGGCCATCGAATGTAACTAACTTTTCCATGTGTATATCTTGTAGTGCATTGGGTGGTAGTCACGGTGTTCCACGAGTTCATTACAAGGGACGGCAAGGTGACTACTATATTATGGTAAGTGATCATGATTTTTTTAATAGATGGATGGAGGCTTATGGTTGTCTCTGAATTTTTTTTAAACAAAATGATACATACAGGTCATGGATATGCTTGGTCCTAGTTTGTGGGATGTTTGGAATAACAACTCACACACGTAAGTATCTCTGTGAAATTTATTGAAATGTAATGCATCTTATTTTTGTCAGCGATCTAGTAAATATTGAATAGCTAACCTTTACTTCTTCCTTTTGGGTTTCAGGATGTCAACTGAAATGGTTGCATGTATTGCAATTGAGGCCATCTCCATATTAGAGAAGATGCATTCTAGAGGGTGATGCTCATTTCCTGATCATATTTATGATTTATTTATGGATTTTATTTTGTTTGACTGATTGGTTACAATTCAGAATGATTCCTGACTGTTGTCACAATATGTCATTGTTAAATTGTTTGGGTGTTCTCTGTTTATCACAAGACCGAAACATGGTCAATCATTTGTTATTGTCTTTCGGTAACATGATGAAGGAGAAACATATCTTATTTCTGTGCTTGAGCAACATTTTTTTTAAAATTTTTTATAAATGATTTGGGAACTATTAAATTTGAAGTCTGTTCTTGGTTTTGATTTAGCATTCTGAATTATATTTTACCCATAATCAAGAAGATCCATGACAAGGATGAATGGGGCCACTGCACCCTCATAATTAATTCCTTTTATCTTAGCTAGACCTCCCCAAAAAATCCATGTTAGTTCTGACTGCAAGTAAAGTAAGGAATAAATCCAAATTCCACTTATTATGGCCTATGGGACAAACCTGTGGGATTCCATCTATAATGTGCACACACACTCTTTTTTTGAGGTTGATTGATAATTGATTCAATGTTTTATATATATCTACATGTTCTGTCCCTGCCCATAATTATTAATTATTAAATAGTAAATACTTATTTTGGTTCCACAGTTAATGTGCTAATAGCCATTGATTCAAAAATTAACTGTGAAGACTGTAACTAATTTCAGAGTTTGTTATACATGTGTTATTTTTATCACAATCCTCAACTTTACATTAAAAACAATTGTTGTAACTGCACTTTAATCTATAAAGTGATCCCCATCACTTTACCTACCGGTGCTGAATCTATAGCAATTATTGCTCTATCATACTGTGCCAAGTTAGTAAATACTTAGGTAGCAACTATTGCTTTACCATTCAATACTAATGTTAAGTTAGCATGGTTTTTATCAGCAACTATGTGGATTGTAGTTCATTGATCACATTTTGTTACAAGAACATTTCATCAATGCTGTCATTATTGCAGATATGTGCATGGTGATGTAAAACCTGAGAACTTTTTGCTTGGACCCCCTGGAACTCCTGATGAAAAGAAGTTATTTCTGGTTGATCTTGGATTAGGTAAGTACACAACTTTACCCTTGAAGCTTTGATATGCCTATTGTCAATGAAGATATGCCTAATTTCATGGAATCTGGCTACTCACCTCATTACCAATTTATCTACTTAGCAACTCAGTGGCGTGATAGTTCGACTGGCCTTCATGTTGACTATGATCAACGACCAGATGTTTTTAGGTAAATTATTTGTTAAATATCTATAAACCTTAGCCAACATCCAAGTTTTAAATTATTTTGTAACGTATATTCTTGCCACAGGGGCACAGTTCGTTATGCTAGTGTGCATGCTCATCTTGGTAGAACAGGTAGCAGGAGAGATGACTTGGAATCTCTTGCTTACACTCTTGTCTTCCTTCTTCGTGGTCGGCTACCTTGGCAAGGATATCAGGTTATAATTTTTTCGAATATAGTCATTTTAGTACTAATGGTAAATGAAGATATGATTCTTATGAAAAAAAATGTTACAGGGAGAAAATAAAGGATTTCTTGTCTGCAAGAAAAAGATGGCCACTTCTCCAGAAACATTATGTTGCTTTTGTCCTCAACCATTCCGGCATTTTGTTGAATATGTAGTGAATTTGAAGTTTGACGAAGAGCCAAACTATGCAAAATATATATCCCTTTTTGATGGAATTGTGGGCCCAAATCCAGACATCAGGCCAATAAACACTGAGGGTGCTCAGAAGGTATTTAATGCTATTATTACCTTAGAATCTGTTTTATTGTTTACATATTTAAAGTCTGACTCTTAGTGACCATTTTTGGGCTATTATTTGGTAGCTTATATGTCAGGTTGGACATAAGCGGGGCCGATTGACTATGGAAGAGGATGATGATGAACAACCGAAGAAGAAGGTTCGAATGGGAATGCCTGCTACCCAATGGATTAGTGTTTACAATGCTCGTCGACCAATGAAGCAAAGGTTTTCTTCTGATGTTAAATAACTAAATAAGTTTTCAATAGTGATTTTAAAATGTCAGAACCTAAAGGATTATCTTTTGGTGTAGGTATCATTATAATGTTGCTGATGTGCGGCTGGCTCAACATATTGTTAAAGGAAATGAAGATGGTTTATTTATAAGCAGTGTGGCTTCTTGTTCTAATCTTTGGGCACTCATTATGGATGCTGGCACTGGTTTCACTGCACAAGTTTATGAACTCTCTCCCTACTTCCTTCACAAGGTTGGCTAGTTTATGTTTTGGTTGTGGCATTATGTTTGATGTTGGTTTATCATTTTTGTAACTATTATTATGGTTTTTTCTGTTTTGTATTTTACAATTTTTTGTTTTGAACTTAATATAAGCTGACAAACTCCTGAATCTGTTTTTATAGGAATGGATTATGGAACAGTGGGAGAAGAATTATTACATTAGTGCCATAGCTGGAGCTAGTAATGGATGCTCATTGGTTGTAATGTCTAAAGGTTAATACCCCTGAAGTCTTTAATTCTTCATGTAATCACGTGTTTTGCATACTTTGACTGGTGGTTGTGTTTAAATCGTCTTCTCACTTTTATTGTTGGATTGCTCCTCTTTAGGTACCCAATACTTGCAGCAATCATATAAAGTCAGCGATTCATTTCCGTTTAAGTGGATCAATAAAAAATGGAGAGAAGGATTTTATGTCACTGCTATGGCCACTGCTGGCACTAGATGGGCTATTGTTATGTCCCGTGGTGCTGGTTTTTCAGACCAGGTCTTGCATTTTAAAAAAAATTGTTTGTGATTAGAAATCCTTGAGGCCCCGAAGACATCCATCTGATCTATTTATTCTTCTCTCCAAACTTAATGCCAGGTTGTGGAACTTGATTTCTTGTATCCCAGTGAAGGCATTCATCGAAGGTGGGATAATGGTTATCGCATCACCTCAACTGCTGCTACTTGGGACCAAGCTGCATTTGTTCTTAGTGTCCCAAGAAGAAAACCAGCTGATGAAACTCAGGAGACACTCCGCACATCTGCTTTTCCTAGTACCCATGTCAAGGTAAACAGTGCATCTGATTTTCATCTATTAATTGTCATTCCATGATCATACATGTTAACAATTGATATTTTGTTTCTGCAGGAAAAATGGGCAAAGAACCTCTATATTGCATCTATTTGTTACGGGAGAACAGTGTCATAAACTGCTGAAATTGAGGTTTCTGGCTGACATCAGTTTGACTGCTGGCACAATCCTGCTTGCTCTTACATCTTCCTAGTTGGGAACTGAAGATCATCTCTGACAAATTTTCTGAACAATTCAGTTCAGCATTGATGTATGCTAAACTCTCTTTATGGTCACCATCACATATCATGATGCAAAACCTGTGCACTGTATTTCAATTTTGTCAAAAAAATACTTGAGTAAAATTAGATTATGTCAATTGGGAAGAGTCTTTTGATATAAAGTTTGTACAGATCTGAACAGTAATTACTATGTTGAAGGCATGTGCACAGGTTAGGTTTTTGTTTATTGATGGTATTTTGCAAATATGCAACTAAGATTTTCCAGTGGGAACTGGGCAATTCAAGCTGTGCACCCTTGTACTTGGTCCTCTTTATCCCTATCACTTTTGACTTAAAGCTACTTATGGGTGTCTGGATTTGACCAACAGAAAGTTTTATATTCTGACAGTGGTTTGTAATTGTTTAATCATTATTATTGCTTCTGATGTTGTCTTTCTATGATAATTTCCTTCCAATGCTGTTCAGTTTGTGGGTACATCTCATGAAATTTAAATGGGATTAGTATTTAGTATGATTGAAATGAAGGATGAGGATGCTTTAGTTTCAGCTTTTTTTTGTTTTGCTTTTTGAAAATTGTTTTTCTAGTGTCAGTTTTTTAACTTTGAATACCTTACCATGACTGTTTCAAGTTGGAAGGTTGTGGTTTCTACATTCTAAAAGTTCAGAGGCTGCAAATATTTTCCATTTATTTGTGTAGGTAATGATGACTTTGAAATTTACACCTCTTGTTCTAACGATTTTTTGCTTCCAGTATCCAAAGTCTACATGTTAGGCTTCTCCTGGTCAGTCCTTCTACATGACTGGGTGCTCATTTTATTTTGTTCTAACACCGAACATTGAAAGATGCACTTATGATTTTTTTGAGAAGTTGGCTATCATGGAAGCTCATCTTGGGAGATAACTTGTGTACCTCTTCTTTATTGATTTGTGTATTTCCCGAGTTACTTGAACATATGAGGCAGGTATTTAATTCTGCTGCTAGTTATTCAACTTGTATTGAGCAGCTGAATCATTCATTTAGTTTAATCTAGATATAATATAATATATACAGATGAACTATTTGATGTTCATTTGGCATGATGACATTGCATGCTACTTTATATTTTTTTTGCTCTCGGTTGAAAGTCAAGTGTTTGGATGGTACATCTAACTTCTGCGGCTGTGGAAACTTTGCAGATTTTGGTTGGTCCTGGCAATGATTATGTTGCTGGAGCAACCCATATGTCAAGTAAGTCAGAAGCTGTTCAAGGAACTATTTGCCGTAAGTGATTCTCATCCCGTTTTCAATTTTTTGCAATTTTATTGATGAATGGTTAGTTTATGTTCTAATAATTTGTCAAAATTGTCGTATTTTGAATGTTACTTTACTACAACTATTGGAGGTCTAGTAGAGAAATAGTTGTGCCTCTATGAGATGTTAGGTAATATTGACCTAGCTTTTATGAACTCCTTGAAAATAAAAGTTCCTCTAATTTGCTTTTATAGGAGCTTTGGTTTTTTGGGTGGTTTATTTTAAAAAAATAGTAATGTAAATTTCTAAGGGAAGTCTTTTCACCTAAAAGTGTGACATTTTTTGTTTACAAGGGAAGGAATAGCCCGTAAAAAGTTAGGCTGAGTGCTAGACTGCTAGTAAGAGCGTCCTATGTTGGCTGTGAAACCAATTTTGAAGTTTCACACTATTTTATTTGTTGTACTTTTGGTATCAAAATGGAGAGACTTTTTATTTTCCCAAATGCAATATTTCAAGGACATGTAATAATTAACTATAAAGCATTATGAAACATTTTTAAGTTATAGGACATTTTTTTCTTTCAGAAATCTAGATTTGGAATCATTGTTGTTAGTTGAAAACTTAAATACAAGGACATGGTTTTCGAGTGAACTTATTCGGAATGATACAAGGATACTAATTAAACCGAGCCAGATAACTTGCCTTGGGTTACGATGGTTTACTGAATGGAATATATTGATTAATGTCCTGTGGGAAAGGAAATCCTCAATCCTTAGTTTATTGACTATAAATTAATTATACCCTGTATTTGTCAATTTCTGTGTATTTGTCAAAAGTCTATTTTATGCTCTTTATTTGGTGAAGTCATTTTATGTATTGAGATATCTATTTGGTTAGGTGTCCCCTGGCTATTCCACAAACGGAAAGGCACAAGTCCAAATTGACATAAATTCATCCTACTGTTCAATAGTCAATACCTTCGATTCAGGTATTGAGAAAGCGGGTGCATTATTCCGAGTGAGGCATGAAGGGTGAGAAGTTCGGGGTTCTATCGCCTGTTCTCTATTTTTTTGTGGCTTTTAAAGTGAAGAAATGTATTTTGGAAGATAAATTGTATACAACCGCTCAAAAATTAGTAGTTATGATATAAATTGTATATAATAAACTTTGAAGTTGGTTATAATTTGCTTATCAAAAAAAAAAAAAAGTTGGTTATAATTTTAATTATTAATTTTTAATTCACGGTTGATTGTTTTATTTTTTATTTAGTGTACTTTCATTTTTAGCAATGTTGAATCCTGTGTAATAGACGGTCTCAAGTTCCAACCAAATAAATTAAAGATGACTAGTCATTTTCAAAAAGAACGAGCCAGCTAATACCGATATTCCTGGAGTATTGACTTTCTTATGTCAAGAACTTAAAGAAGCATCTTACAAATGTGTTGGATCCACTCGACATTATGGCTGAAGCCCGTCGAGAGAGAGTCGGTGAGTTGGCAGGAACAAACGTTTTAACAAGAGATCTGGCGAGAGAATAGAACCTGCTTGTTGTAGATATTGAAGTAGATGTTGAAGAGGTACCAGAGGCCGAACAAGGCGCCGAGTTCGAGAGTCTTGAAGAGCGTGTTCTCGGCGGCGTGTGGAGGCGAAGGGGAAGAGAGAGGGCGGAACTTGAAGGAAGAGGAGGGAGAGAGAGTCCAAGATCGGCGAACGAAGGAAGAGGAAGAGACGCCGTCGGCGTTGCCATGTTTGGCAGAGACGCGAAGAGAGAGCGAGGGTCTCAGTCTGAAGGCGTTTGGGGAAGGGTTTGGGAGAGGGAGCGAGGGAGAGAGAGTGAAACAAACGGAACTGAAGCGCGCGGTTTCTTTTCTCTTCTCTTCTCGTGTTTGGTTAGGTTTTATGGAGAGGGAGAGTCCCTCGGAGATTCCGCCACCACCTATGTTTTGTTTGGTCACTTGGTGGAAATGGAACGAATGAATGAATGGGAGTAGGTAGTAGTACAATTATAAAGGTTTTATTCTTCAATATCCACTTTTAAAATTGTTTTCGTGTTTTACTTTTCTGATTGGTCGTGCATTGCGAATTGTTGTAATTGTGGTGTTTATGTAGTTTTTGTGGATTTTGGATGACAGGGAAGGGGTCCTATGGAGCTGTTTACAAAGCAAGGGATTTGAGAACCTCGGAGATGGTTGCTATTAAAGTAATACCGTTATCTGAAGGGGTGAGTTCATGACTTCACGTTGCTT